AAAGGACGAACTGGCGAAGAGGCCCGAGACACAAGCTACGAATCCTACTCCCGCCGAAGTGCCGTCCAAGAGGTCACAGGTGCCTGAACCTCTCCTATCGCCTCGTACCCATCACAACTGCTGCCACCGGCGATTCTACTACCTCGACCAGAGGTTGCAGCACCACCACCACCGGCACCGGCATCACCGCCCGCACCTCCAACACCAACACTACCACCGCCAGAAGTCATCGCAACGCGGCTGCCACTTCCAAGACTGTCGGTCTTTACGCTGCAACTACCGACGCCAGCTCTGTCCTCGGCCCAATTTGCCGGCTCGCTGGCATGAACAACGCCATTCGTGCTATCACGAAAAGGTTATTCTGCTTTACTTTGCTTCGTGGATGACCGTTCTTAGTTGATTCGTTCGGTTCCATGAGCCATTCCACTCCTGCAGACAACTGGGCACTGTGCTATGACTTTCCATTTTGAAGGGGAAGCTGGTTGGAGGGAATTTGCAATGTGCTACCGTCGGAAACCGAGGGATTGCCACGTGGGGAAAACTGTTGAAGTGTGCCCATCCTCGTGCGACCCCGATGAAACTGTACCATCGTGACATTCACACTTCATGGAATGGAGCAAAAATATGCACAAAAAAGCAAAAAGGTGGCCGACTGCAGTCGTAATCGCTTTTTTTATGCACCTAACTTCGTGATATTAATGAAGATTACTATGATTTTGTTGGCTTGCAAATGAGTGAAGTTGCTTCCCGAACCGGATGTGCATTCAGGTCATGGGAAGTGTGACAGTCCTATCTGGACTCGAGGCTAATCCAGCCTCTTGTTTAGTGGCTCTTCCTGTACTCTGCCTCAACAGCTAAAAATTGTTAATACTCAACTCTTACACATTCATTCATCCTATTGGGGACGTTGGCTATTTTTAAAATTTCTATAGGCTCCCTAATTGTACGCTTTTGACGCCAAGTCCCATGACATGAGCATTACATACACACAATAGACAATAGCATGAGTTAAACATGAATCAACAGAGGATGGTGGATTCGTTTGTTTCTGCAAGGAAACAGCTTCCACCGAATCCACTTCCGGTTCGGCAAGCAACTTCACTCATTTCAAAGCATGTGGAGTAATTTGGGAATAGCCAACCAAATCGTGGAATGCTTCGTTAAAATCGCGAAGTTAGGCGTATGAAAAGGGCGACTGGCCACTATTTTGCTTGCTTATATCATTTTGCTCTATTCCATGAGGTATGGATACCGACTGTGATGATGCTTGTCGCTATGGTGCAGGCGAAGGCTTAGCGCAGTTTCATCGGGGTCACAGGAAGATGAGCCAAGAAACTTCTTCACACACTTCAAAAATTCAGCTTACACTTCGAAATGGAGAGTCATGCCACAATATTTCATTAAGGAATTTTTCGAAACCCCCCTTTTCTTTTCATAATTGGGCACTGTCTTTGTCTATACTACTCATTATTTGGTAGTTTTGTCCCTCGTTTTTCTCAACTCCAGTCAATGTGACAGTCTTTTTCGTTTATAAGTTGACTTTCGAGACTACCGGTAGATCATGCATACGAAATGTGCTCATTCTACTTCGTTTGTGGTGGTAAGAGGCCTACCGGCAGTTGAATTTTCTCACAGTGATGCGAGTAGATCTGATGTTTCCATTGAATTTCACAGTCTCACCTTCCCCAAAGGTATTCCCATCCTGGCCGGAGTTTCTACCTCGCCGAGGTGATTAGAATGTCGAGATTATACACTGCACTTTCATCCTTCGAGTCCCGCTGAAGGTGTTAAGACCTAGGCCGGTTGGAAACAGCAGTCTACTTCGGCCGGGATGAGAATGGCTCTGTAGAATTTGCTGGAAACGTCCGATCTACCAATCGCCTTAGTACCCTAAACGAAATGAGAGGAATACATTTAATATAATGTTGTAGTCTGTTGTTCCTCCATTGCTCCCCGAAAGCACGTCAACATGAAGATAGATTGGCTCGACGGGC